AGTTAGCTATCAAAAACTAGCAGTTACATAAGACACAGATGAGAGATGCAGGATTATATCATTTCTGGTCTATCTGGTGGGTGTTTGTTGTTGTTGTTTGTTTTGTTTTGTTTTGTTTTTGTACCAGAAATCAAACTCATAACTTCACACTTGCCAGACAGGTGCTTATGCTGCTGAGCTAAATCCCTGACCCTGGTGGTTCTGTCTTTAAATCTTTCTCACTTAATTCTCAGAACTTTGTCTATAAGGATTAGGACTCAGGCTTATCTTTTAAATAACACAAAATGAACCTAACTAAACTAAAATAAAGAATGAACCTTCTAAAAGGCTACTGTGTGCCAAGGTCATTTACTTATACAGCAAGATCTGACAGAAGACTTGCTTGTAAATATCAACTGGAAACATTCAAATAAATACTATTAATTTTCTCCATTTCTAAAGACAAAGCAAGTATCTATGTCTTCTAACTGGGGCTTGTGCTCCACAATAGCTCAGAGTTGCTCAACAATGAGTGAGGCTTAGAAATGAGATCACAGAACTGGTGAGGACTCATATACACTAAGGCCAGTTGGATGGATGGATGGACAGATGGATGGGTGGATATACAGAAGACAGACAGACAGACAGACAGACAGGTAATTTCAGGTGAAGAAATTTACATAAGACACAATGATCATAGGAGGCAGAATTCAGAAGTAAGGTGAGGTCTTTTCCTTAATTCATTATTTTTCTACTATACTGTCTGCTATATTTCTACAGAGTGGGGAGCAAGGTTTCTAACCTCTACTCCTAATTACTCATAAAGAAATGAATTAATATAAAAGGGAGGAGAGAAATAGGGAGTGGAAAAATACATATATTTGAGGAAACAAAGACCTATGGAAGTATAAATCATAGCATGCTTACTTCCAAAAATGTTCAACTAGTTAAGAGTAAGGAAGTAACTTAAATACTGAATTTTTTATAGTTTCTATTTCAATGAAACACTCCAAACTCTTTCTGACATTTACTGTTGTCTGCTTGTGCCCAAAAAACAACAGATCCAGTATATAACAGCCAAGCACCGCTCAGCCACAAGGAAAGATAAAACTGAGTCACTTGTAGGAAAGTGAATGGGTCTTAAAACCATAATGCTAAGTGAACAAATCTGATGTGAAGCTTAAATATAAAAAGTTTCTATTGTATGAGAAATGCAAAATATAAATAACTTAAAAAGGAAAGAAAGGAGATGGTAGAAAACAGGGAGGCAGACTTTTTGGAGACAGAGTAGGAGATTTGGAAGAGGGAGAGGGCAGTGAATACAGAAAAGGGGATTATAAACATCACGACGCAGTATGCACAGGTGCCAAAGCCACAAAATGAATGTGCTGAAAAGGTACACTATTTTTAAAAACTAATGTGCATATAAAATTAATTTTAGATCTAGAATGGTAAAACATCACACTGAAGAAAAGTTTTGTTTTGTACTTTATCATATCAAAAGCATTTTTAAAAACTTTATCTTCTTTGATTCATTAAGTATCTACAAAATATTGCTTAAAACCCCTACCACAAAAACCGAAAGTCCAAGCCATGGGGTGATCCTTTAGTACTAAGTTTCTCTTATACAGATAAGAGCTATTCTTGTTTTTGTATGTAAAAAACATGATAATGTGGTTAGTTGGGCTTTCCAACCCAACTGTCTCTGACAGATACTAGATTCTATTTGAATGGGTAATTGTTGAAGCCAAATAATTTCTAACACTTCCTTAGCCCTCACCCATGTGCATCACCAGGAGTAAGCAGCAGCTGCTGCCAGCGCAGGCCTTCTTTCCTCCCAGAGCTGCTCCGAGGTACTGAGCAAGAAGGTGTAAGCACATCTGCCTTTTGCCATTTGTAGTTTCACTGGCTTCATGTATGTCTTGAAGTGAGACAGATGGTCCCTGACACTGCACAGGCTTTCAGGGTTATATATTTGCAAAAATAAGAGGACAGATGTTACTACACATTTGTCCCCTGAAGGTTTAAGTTGAGGCTTCTTTCTCAATTTGGATATCTGACTACTGAATCCTAGGCAATTCTTGGATATCTCTGCTACAGAAGTACAACATTACAGTTATGAAAAAAGAAATTAAATTGTAAGATAAACCAAAAATTATATTCTGAAAATTCTTCGTGGAACTATAAGGAAAGTCAAGTATCGACTTGAAACACTTCAGCAAGCAGCATAAAATGTACAAAGTCTTGTAATCCAGCAGTAGTCAAAATCCATTATAATCACTATCATCAAATAACTCATCAGTCATTGTATTCTGTACTATTAGGAAGGGATAAAAACAGGGAGAAAAAGAAAAAAGAACAGGAGGTTGCATAATTTGTGGTACACTTTGTAACATTTGTAACAGATAACAATTAGCTTTAATGTAAAAATCAACTAATCATACTCACTTTAAGAGCTCTCATAACTGTCGTTATGTAAGAGAATAACCTTGCCTCGGATATCATACATTAAAAGATGCAGGGAAAAGGGGATAATAAGTTTGCAACATATACAAAAGAAAGTAGGGAAGGTATGTTAACACATGCACACAGTGAGAGAAACGGAGTAACGAAGCAATTAAGTTAAAATTGCTAAGACATGGGATACAGAAATTCTTCTTACTGTCTTGCAATAACTTTATGAGCCTAAAATTATTTCAAAAAACTTAAAGCCAAGTAGAACAAGATAAATTATTGTCTCTGAACACTAGAATACAGGACATCAGAAAAGGAATTTTAAAACTTAGCAGAAATAAAATAATTTGAAAACTGAGATACAACGCATACAATATGTTAAAAATATATTAATTCTAATATCAAAGCACTTAAATTCATAGCATTTCATTCATTATGAATTATTAAATTATCTATGTGGGAACACTATGTATTCTCCAAAAATCTAAGAATTTCTAGCAAGTTTCTTAGAAAGAAAAGGAAATAGAATTTATCTATATTCATAAATCCTAGCAACACAGGAAAACAACAGATGACTATCAGTTCTATCCATAGTGCAGAAAAACAGAGGATAGCAAGGGAGGGAAAAACTAGGAGACATTTTCTCTTTCTGATTAAAAATCTCAAATATACTCAATGACAAATATACTTCCCAAACCTCCCCACAGGTTTTATGTTAAATTCTAACATCATATAATTTTAGGCATAAAACTATAATCATATTCTCACTTTGGAGAAAATTACTAGAGAAAGACAGTTAAATCTTTGCATCAAGACAGCATCGCTCAGGCCTGGGATGTAGCTCAATGGCACAAAAGCCTGCCTGGCAAGCACAAGGTCCTGAGTTCAATTCCCAATACAAAAAAAAAAAGACAGCATACCTCTTTTGCTTAAAATAGTAACAACAACAAATAAACACACACCAGAAACAAATGTTAGAATATACTTTCATGCTTCAGGAAACTTCTGAACTACTGTGTTATAGACCCCTTATTCTGGAGAATTAAATACTTTGAAAATGCTTTCAGTTAGGCTCAGGAAAGACATGCAAAAATTCATAAGCATTTTGTAGAACTGTGCAATCTGAGGTGAATTGAGAAGAACTAATTATGTACTGGCTGACTTCGTCAAGTAAAAAAAAAAAAGAACCTTAAAGTTATGATTTACTATTTAGTCCTATTTGTGTTTGATTCTACATCCAGAAAATCCATATGATAACCTGAAAAGATAAGATGACTACAAAAATAAGAACATCACTTTTTGATTATTCATACTCACTATGGTTAACTTATTTTAAAATCAAAAATGAACAGAAGAAATGTCAAAATTCTATTTAGAAACATATATCCACTGAACATAAAGAGTTAAAAGCTATGCAAAAAAATTCTTACAAAGCTATGCAGAACAAATGAACCAAACTTTCCTTTAGTTTCCCTTCATATGTCAGGAACACAATTTTATTTTTGCACACAGCAATATGACCAATTTTTGCTAACATCATCACTATTCCTAGTATGAGGAGAGTTAATTTCTGTTACAGTGATGCTGTCTGCACCTCAAAGGACTCATTCCCGTGAATACAGGAGTTCTCACAGAAATGACTTCTCCAAACAGTTTAACACCAGCAAAACAGTATCAAAAAATACTGATGTAGCAGCAAAATAATTTAATCTATTCTCTTCACTGGAAACACCCTGAGGTCTCTTTGAGGGTAATAACAGTTTTCTTCTTACTATTTTAATATAGAATTTTAATATGAAATTTTTTTCCATTTCAAGTTGATTAATCTTCAGAGTTTCTCACTGAGGACAACTAATAGTTTTCCTACTTTAAAGTACCAAATGCATTTTTAATGTTACTATGCAGTTAAATCCCTGATGATATCACAGATATACGAGTTTATTTTCAGAAGCCCTAAGAAATAATTTGACATTGTTAGCAGGTACAAACATTTAAAAAGCTAAAATAAGCACAAAGTATTTCCAGATACTAAAGAGGACTCTTGCAGGGAAAAAAGGCCCAAATCTTAGAATATTATAGCTTGTGAAAACTGTTATCTTCACCCTATTCTGACATGGAAAGATTACATGTAAATTAAACTTCAATGTATGTAATTTTCAAAATATGCTACAAACACCGATGGGTGTGCTCTCCTTACTAGAAACGTTAAAAATTGAGAATCATTTTAAATCTCAGTCATGTCTGCAAAAAAGAAAATCAAGTGATATGAGGCAATGCCATAAGGCAGCATGCAGGGGACTGCGTAGATGGTCTGGTTTTTATTAGCCAAGCCTCGTTTTCACAACTGGTCGCCACTTTGTTTTTCCCATGGCTGTGTGTGTACAGGGCTTGTGTGTGAGGATGTTTGTGCACGTCCTATCCTTTGTACTTAATCTGCTGCCATGACATCTCATATGGGCTGGGAACGAAGAACATAATCAAAACCACACAAAGAAAAAGTATGCTTTATTCTTATTCTTTCAACCTTCTGAAACAGCTATGAAATAGCATTGAGTCAGGTGCCTTACCCTGTCCGTTTGGTGATGGTCCCCAATGTCATTGGCTGCTTGATCTGTGCCAGCGGCATCACGACCATCAAGCTGGGGAGAGGAGAGAGGCGGGGGTTGCCAGGGTTGTTGTTTGTAAAATTATTGTAAGAGTCTTGGCTGTTCAGTTTCCCTACAATGAGAACACAAAGAAAAGCATCACTCAAAGAAACTTCCTAACCTCTGATAGGGCTTTCACTGAATGCAGTAAATAAGTGAAGAAGGGTATCAAAAACAGGATTCATAAAGAGAAAGTTACATGGGTGGGAAAAAATCAAAGTGCAAAGACTGCAGTCTCACAGGATGACAAATGAATCCCCTGTCTTTCTGTGAGCAGTCAGTGAGACGTGTTACCCTTCTGAGGTCACTGCACTCAACAAAATGTAATCCTTTTGCCTACACTTCACCAATTTCTAGGCGACAAAGCTTTGGGTGGGGAATAAGTTGAATCTGTAGATCAATTTAGGGAGTACAATCAGACCTCCATATCTATAGATTCCACATCTATGCATTCAATCAACTGCAGATTGAGAATATTTTTGAGGGAAAAAATAAAGGAAGTTCCAGGAAGAAAATCTTGAATTTGCCATACATGGAGCACTACTCTGAATCTACGCGAAGTGATGTGGAGGCATAGCCTGTCAGCTTCTCTCCAGCATTGTTTGACTATTGCCAGGCCTCTGCTTTATTCATTGGTTTATAGTGCGTGCGCCTATATTGAACACCCTTGTTCTTACCATTATTCCCTAAATTATAAAGTATAAGAACTACTTGTATACTAGCATTTATATTGTATTAGATCTTCCAAGAAATCTAGAAATGAGCTAAAGTTTATGAGACGATATGCACAGATTATATGAAAATCCTACAGTGCTTTTTTTTTTTTTTGTATCTGGGATGGAACTCACTCAACCTAGCACTTGCCAGACAGGTGCTTATGCCACTAAGCTAAACCCCCAGGCCCTCACATTACTCTGTTTAAGGGACTGGGGCACTGTTCTGGGGTTCGCTTGGGTCCTGGAACTAATCACAGTCAACTATTGTACTACTATAATCTTAACTATATTGTCTTCTCATTTTATAGGGGTACATGCAAACCCACGTTTATAGCAGCACAATGTAAAACACCTAACACTTGGAAATGGCCCATATGTTCATCACTAGATGAATGGATAAAGAAAATATATTTATACATGATGGAGTACTATTATGCTATAAAGAAAGATAAACTTCAGTTATTCCAAGGTAAATGGCTGCAACTTGAGACCACAGTATGAGGTTATATAGGTCTGACATACAAACTTAGACATCACATGGTTTTTCTTATATGAGAAAAAAATGTGTGTGCATATATACATTACATACATAATATACACATGGGGGAGTGCAAAATAGAAGACAAACAGGAAGTGGGGCAATTGTTTTCAAATAGATGAGGAATAAGACAGGGAGAGAGGGAAGAGAGAGGGGAGCAGAAAAAGACTGAAGGGGAAAAATGACAAAAAACAGATCTTGCAAGACTTGGAAGAGGAAGGGAGGCTGGAGGATGAAAAAAGCAAAGGAGAAAAAAAGAATTAAATGTGTTATATGCCTGGACTACTCTCCATGATAATTGTAAACATTATGTACTATAAACATCTACTAATAAAAGTAATACTGTCCTCTACTCCAAGATTCTGGCATGCCTTTCCAGTTTCTTAGATATTCTGTAATACGATTCAGTGTTGTTTTGTATTTTTCAGGTCACAAATTTTGAACTTCTTTTTCATAAGCTACAAAGTCTTCTGTTGCCCAGACTGGCGATGAACTCCTGGACTGAAGCAATCCCCTGCCTCAGCCTCCTACGTGTCTCAGACTAGGGGCTTGCATCACCATACTCAACTTCTTTGGTTAATTTTTTACTAAGAATCTTATACTTTTTAATGCAATGTAGAAATAAAATTATTTTCTTAAATTCATATTGTTAACCACTGGGGTTTGGAAATACAGATAGATTTTGTAAATTGATATTACAGCCTATAAATTTGCTTTACTTGTGTCTTGGTGCTACTAATTTCTGATGGTTCCACAGAATTTTTGATATAAGAGATTATGTCACCTTCAAAAAAGAGATAGCATTACTTCTTCCTTTTCAATATGATTGACTTCTATTTCTTTCATCGCCTTATTGCTAGAAATTTCAACACACTTTTGAAGAGGGAAGAATAATGGTCATTTATTTTTACTTTGTTTTTGCATATGTGATGATTGGCTGAGATTCATACTGTTTGCTATTTTGAATATACATACACAATTTTCCTTTTTTATTTTTAGGTGCCCAATTTTTCTATCACCACTTTTAGTTGTCATTCTGAACTAATATTACATTTCTTTATCCAAAAGACATTTTCTGGATTCCATTGATTTGTATCTATTCTTTCACCAAATACTGTTTTCTTGAATTCTTTAGCTTCTTAACAAATCTTAATAATTCAGTGACTCACAGAGAAACATTATAAAATGTAATCATTGTTATATTACAAAATGAGTCCAATATTTATAATCCAATAGTATTTTCATACAAAAAACAACTTATTAACCTGTTAATTTCAAATAACTATTCTTGAGTTTTGATAAAAATCAGCTACCCCATATTATTATCAATGAACATAGTATTTTTTACATATGCAGAGTAAACATACAGATTTTTGAACTAACTTGAAGTAAAGCAATAAATTTAAATGGGGATCCGGGAATGGAGGTACAAACCTGTAATCCCAGCACTTGGGAAGCTGAGGCAGGAGGACTGCTGTCAGTTTGAAACCAGACTGGGCTACATAATAAGTTCAAGGCCAATCTTCACTAAATGGCAAGGTCTTATCTCAAAAGAAAAACACAGTCTATGTGGGAACCAAATGAGATCATAAATGGTGTCTTACTCCTGAAAGACATTCACTTTTAACACAGCATGGCTCCACCAAACAATATCAATGGTATTTCTAGAGACAATGAAAGGCAAGAGTCCCATTTTTTAAAAATGCCTACTATGATGACGGTGGCTATAGAAGAAGGATGACTGAACCAAATGTTACTCCTGCCATGGACACAAATCTATCTTCTTTTGATACTCAATGGGATAAATAAATTAAACATGGATAAGTATCTCTAGCAAAATAAGAGGAATGTGAGAAATTCATGCAATAAAATCAAGTTTTACATCTCTTAATTACCAACTTCCAATACAAAGTACACACTAAAGTTAACAGAAATGATTTAAACCTATTGCTACTATTAAAATAGACCAAATTCATAATGTAAACAACATGCCTTATGCTGTTTAATAAATTAGATGGTATTACAACTATATATGCAGAGTCTTGTATAAAAGGTGAATGGGAATCCCATTGAAATATTTTTGTGGAGGAAAAACAAAAACCTTTTTATCATTAAGTCATTCAAAGTTGTTTATTACCACTCTCAAGGCCAATGTAAATGAAAATGGTTACAATATTCACTTTTAGACAACTACGTTAATATTGCTTTGTAACTGAAATAAGACTCCAATGGTAAATAGGTCATAAACTAATAAAATTCAAGAACTGTGCAGATACATTTCACAGCTAGTAAACATGAATTTGTTGAGTGCTGCAGCCTTAGATAACATGCGTGAGGAACTATATTCCTACTTATCATGAAGCCTACAGTCTAACATGCGTGAAACGGGAATGATTAAGTGCTAATTGTCTAGAACTAAAGATAAATACATGTGGGAACAATTATTTGGAAACAGTCTCAAAGACCACATGGGGAACGACCTAGTTAGACAGAAAAGCGGAGGCATATTTAAGGCATGAAGGGTAACGTGAAGGAAAGGAAGTAAAGGGAAGCCATCAGTGAGGAGAAGTGAGGATTAGGACACAAAGCAGTGGGGGACAGTATCACTGCAGTTCCCAGAGGACTTTTCAGTTGGGTCAGAGGAGCAGAACGACAGTCAGTGCTTCAGCAGGGGAGCGGTACAAATGCTGATGCTGGTGGACCTTATAAATAACATCAGTGGGGCTCCGGCCGGGCGTGTCTTATTGGTAAAACACCTGCCTAACATGGTCAAGGTCCCGGGTTCAACCCCAGTGCAGAACAGAAAAGAGTAAAATAAAATAATCAGAGGAAATGAGAAACCTGAAGTGTTACGGCTTAGCTAGCCATGATGAAAAGGCCTTGCTGTCTTACTAGGATACAAGACAAACTCAGAAGAGCATACGATGTTCTTGAGACCGAGCCTTCTCGACTGCTTTAGTGTTCTCAAGCATCACACGAGTGTGCTCAGTCTTCTGTTCTTGTAGTCTGTAGATACGATGTAGTTTGTCTAGAACCCAAAACATTTCATTGTAAAGTAAGTTGTGCAGAGTTTACATTCATGCGTAGGTATATAGGGGTAATTTTTCTCTTCTACTTCACTATATTGAACAAGCAGTTTATAAACATAACTTTAATGAAAGAATGTGTCCTAGAAAAAAAATCTGTAGCTTTCTATCCAAATTATCTCAACTAGAAATCAAGAAAGCAATCTTATTTATAATATCTACCAAAAATTTATTCCTCCAGGAATAAATTTAACTAAAGACGGAAAGCTTCTAACCTTAAAATTATAAAACACTGAAAAGAGAACACACAAAGGTCAGCCGTGGTAGTGAAAGGCCAGATGTAGTAACACACTTGGGAAGTTGAGGCAGGAGAATCCCCAGGTGTGAGCCCTGCTTGAGCAAATGAGTGAGACCCTATCTCATACTAAAAAAATTTTTTGGCAAGCATGAGGTCCTGAGTTCAATTCCTGATACCAAGAAAAAAAAAAAAAAAAAAACAGTGCTGGAAGGCAGCTCAGTACAAAAGCCCCAAGTTCAACCACCATTACCCCATTACCATTACAAAGCAAAACGTCCCACAAAAATGGAAAGTCATCCCATGTTCATGGACTGAAATACTGTCAAAATTCCCATACACTCTAAAATGATCTACAAATTCAATACAATCTCTGTAAAAATACCAATGACATTCTTCATACAACTAGAAAAAGCAATCTTAATACTTAATAGGAATACAAAAACTATCCCCTCAAATAGCTAAAGCCATCTTGAACAAGAAGAGTAAAGCAGAAGA